ACATTGAAGTGGAGGGCTGCAGAAATAGAGGAAACAGAAGAGTGGCCCCAGGAGCACTGCTGGAATAGTAATTCTCGATTATGTAAGTCTCTTCTAAGACAGCAGATAAAAGCGAACAAGATTGACAATGTGAATAGAGGGTGATCCTGATGAATCAAAAGAAAAATGGCATTAAGAACAAGAACCTCAAAAAAATGCTAAAAGCAGTAAAGTTGGTTTACAAGCCATAATTTACTTATCTTTAAATACAGCACCTAATGTAGAATTAATCAGATTTTTTCTGACATTAGACCAAGAAAGTCTGGTTCCAGATAATTCTCTAAATTTTTAAATGCTACTGACTCTCTCCCTGCCCCCTTTGAAATGCATTCAAATGTTTTTCCTGAAGGGGAAAACCCATAATTATGTAACTTCTGCTAATGAAGTATGCTTGGGGGTTTTGGGTTGGTTTTGGGTTTTCTGAATAGACAATAAATCTTCCAGGGTAATAAAGACTGATTTGTCTTGCTGGAAATCCACTGCAAATGGCATCTTTTCATGAGAAAACATCTTTATTCTTGTACAGAACTGAATCAGGAGTTTAAATACTGCACAAAAAATAAGTGCTACAGAACTGATCCAGATCATTCCCCCCATTGATGTAAAATTGACAGATCATTTAATATTCTGCCTAAACGTTCCAGGGTGCCAGTTTTTTACAAGCAGAAATTGAAGATGCCTGGCTTATGGTTTTATATATATATTAAGAAGTTAAGGACATGTTATTTCAGACACTGGATTGGACTTGGACCAAGGCCTTACCCAAGTCTTCAGAAACTTTTGATGCATTTCCAGACAACTTCAGCACTAACTTTCTTTTTTTTTCACTTTTGGACCTTACCAATGTAATCTATAGTAAGAATATTGGGCAGGAAGCTGAATTATGAACCAGTAGGCACCATCTTCACTGGGTAAGTTCAAATATGAACGACAAGACTATGAAAAATAAGAAAGAAGTTTTATCGGAGTTTGTGCTTGTCTAACTGACCCTTTCCAAGACTGACTCAGAATTATTTGCTTTAGAGTCTAAGAACCCCAGGTGTTTTTGTCTGGTAATACTTACCTTGTAAAAGAAATATTTATATGCTGATTTTAATGAAGAAACTGGTGCATCAGCCATTCTGCTCTTCCATCCAAGTAAAGAATTAAAGAGTATCTCTAAAAACTTTGTATTGCTTTCTTCTGGAAAAAGCATACTGAGTTTTTTTTTGGCTCTGATGAAAAAGTTTTATTTAGAAATGTAAAAAAACCCACGTATTTTGATGCATCTTTCTGATGAAGAAGTGAATTTGGCTGCTGTATGTTTAATGGAGCACTGAAGAACGAATGTGCATTACCTACAATGTTCTGGCCAAGTAAGTAGTAAAACCTGCTGTCCCTTTGAAAAGTAGAAACATGAAGCTTTGCAATCTGCAAGCACAATTGACTCTGCATGGCTAACAATAACAAGTAAATCTGGCATAATCCCATGGATGTGATATATACTGTATTGTAGACATACAATGGACATGTACATAGAAATGGTAATCAGATACAAAATGTGCATTTAATTTAACAAGTAAAAAAATGTTTATTTACCCAGGAGGCAACTGGAAATAGAGTAGGTATATGTTTCAATATTAAATGTATTTCTCTGTGAAATACATTACAAAATACATTACGAAATACATTACTATTTCCATTCTCTGAATTAGCAGTGCTATAATTTTTATAAAGAACTAAAAATAGTTCTGTAATTGTCAGACTTATACTTTGCAAAAATTCAGTAAGTGAACAATGTAAATGGTAAATAAAGACTTTGCCTGAGATGGAACTAGATATCATTGCACACGAGTAGAATTCATATTATTCTTCCCTTTATTTTAAAAACAAGTGAAAAACAGGTATTTGTACATCTTTTATCTAAGTGACCCGAAACATCTCTGAATATAATGCATTTTCATCTGAGTGTCCTTTCTCCACAGATTCAATTTTCCAGTTTATAACACTTAACAGTTTCACTTACAGATGTGCCATGTTCATAATACCATGATATCATGATAGGTTTATTTTTGCTCTTTTTTTTTTTACAGTTTCCATTATCCAAAGATAATGAAGCTTCTTATTTGATTTTTCCAGAGGAGGGAAGGATCCTGAAACACAAAGTCCTTTTTCAAAGAAACATAACAACGTAGATGTTGATATGCTTAGGAGGCAGGATGGTGGCCTTGATAAATCCAGGTTGAAACCTGCAATAGTCTTTAGAAAAATACAGTTGTAATGGTGAGGGAGTCAAATATGCAGTGTGTTTCTTGGTGTTACATTTTGTGGTGTTACCTGCTAGACAAGTGCCTGTCTTGCTTTGAAGTAGGTGTAAGTAAAGTTTGCATCTGAGAGATCAAGTTATAATTTAGTTTCTTAGTGATTGAAGGACATAAACTGTAATACCAGTAACTGGTATTACATAAGAGGCCCTAATCAACCTCTGTGGGAGCCTGACCCACCACTGCTATGCCCCAGTGTTCTTGGGGCCTGTGGAGTAGTGCAGAGGCAGGCAGGCACACCAGGGATGTCGCATTTTTGTGGCAAATGCAGGGATTTGTGCTGAAGCAACTTCGAGGCTTTCAGACAGCTTCCCAGGGATCTGTTGTGGTTGTGGTCTCTTGTGTGTTAAGAGCCCTTGGAGTTGTTCACTCATACTCCAGGAACAGCATATAAATGCCTTTGCTTGATAGTCTAGGGTTTTAGTTCAGTTATATGACAATAAATTTCTTAGATTTATTTCTCCCTAGATGGTATGTGATATAATTTTCTTTACACTGCTTCTCTGTGGAGGGTGTATGTCTGTCACAGCCCCACTCTGGGGAACCTGGCTCTTTTAACTCTGTCATTCACTCTTACATTAAGTTGCTTGAATCCTTGGCTGCTGCAGAAAATAGACTCTCTTACACAACCCTAGAAATTGCAATAATAAATTACTAAGAAGGCTTCATTTGTAAGGTTTTATCAATATATATCTCATGTATTAAGGTTGCACATCATGGCCAGGCCATTGCTTCGCTGCCAGAATCAAACACTTTGAAGAGAGCTATGGATTCAGCAGCACGGATTTGAAGCTGTGCAATGTGATTCTTTTCAGTCCAGCAGTGAAATTGATCTAGCTTGAGCATGCACGCTGGTGGCATGGGAGATTTGGGATTTGCATAACTTCATTTGAAAGAAAATGGTGCAAATGGGCAGGGTGGTGGTATACTGCAGCATGTCACAGAAACAAGGGGAAAAGTCTCTGAAAATCCCTTAGAATCAGATTTCATAATGGTTACCGTGGTATTTTTATGCAGCAATTGCTGACACATCTCCTATCTATGAGAGAGATTTCATTGACAGTATGAAATCACACATTTGTGCAGGTTTAGGCTTTCAGGGGGTTTCTACTGGTACTCATTTTGAAGTATGAAGTCTGGTGGGGTTTCACTGTAGTATGTGCATTCTCAGAAAAGAGCATATGTTTATGCAGTGTGGTTTTTGTGTAGTTTCTCATTTAGTACTGCTATTTTCTCTTAGTGTGAAGTAATCTATATTTTTGCATCTGCTCAGATGCTGAGTTGGATGAAATTCTGGAACAGGAATCATTCATTGCATTTGCATTGATAATAAGGTAAAGGACATTTTGGGATACCCTGAGCGAAGGCGTGCTGTGGCAGCAGTACAGAACGGCTAGGCTGCACTTTCACTGCCAAAGGGGTGCCCTTTAAGTAGGAAAGGACCAACTCTCTGAAGATTTATCCTAAAAGTAAACCTTCTTTGCAAAGTCGGGCTGTGCAGCGGGAGATACAGTTATAGCCTGCTGGGCCCTTACCTCGGCAGGGTCCTGATCTGCAAGTTCAAGGTCTTTGCATAGTTACCTGTCTGAGGTGTAATGCTTCCCTCGGGTAGCTCTGTGGCTTCTGCAGTGGTCTTCACTGCACAGTTGTAGCACTGAGCAGTTATTTGAAACTAAAAGATCAAACGGCACTGCAGAGAGCACAGCTCGATGGAGGTTGTGCATATGATGGGAACTACTCTGGGCATCGCCCCTCAGCCCTTTTCCAGTGCAGTGCAGCAGCGTGTGATGACTGCACCGTGGAGCAGTCCCTGGAGCTGAAACCACCCAAAGTCGAGTTCATGTACTGTGAGGGACACATAAGGCTCCACGTTCCTGCTCCCCCCATTTCAAGGTTGGTGTCTCCATTCTTTGCACAGCTTATACTCCAAGAATACTGGTATTCTGTACATTTAAAGGTCATTAATCAGGTTCTGAACCTAAGAAGGATTTATTGTTGTTGAATTCACAGTGTTGCAGTCTCTGCTGACAGCAGACCGCCTCAGATCAGTCATACGAGGACAAGTTCAAAGCCACCCAAAAGTAAGTGAATTTTTATATTCCTGCACAGTTTTACATCTATTGCACTTTATTGTGACACAACCTGCCTTCCTAGAATATAGGGTGGTGATAAACCAGCATGGCATGGCAGAGGGAAACAGAAGCTTGCCTGTTAGTACAGTCAGGTGAAACATGCTTCAGAGACCAACTTTCTCTCTTATCTTTTCCTCCTGCCCAACATCCTGAGCACACCTACGCTCTTCCATCACTGCACACCTGCACAAGCAGAGGTCTCAGAGGTGCCTTCGAGCAAGGCAGTGGGGCAGGAGCCGGAGGCCTGAAGCCCTTCCCGGCTGTTCCTCCGCCTCTACCGAGGCTACTACTACGTGCTGACTGCGTTGTTAAATAACAAGGTTTTTCCACAGAGCCCCCGCCATCCCGTTATCTCCATCCGCGAACCGTGTTCCGGAGGTTCCGTGGCGCGGGGCGAGTGCCGGGCCCGTGCGGCTGCAGGCGGAGTGTTTGGGGCAGCTAGTCCAGAGAGTACGGTAGGGCGCGCCCCGCCCCTCCTGCCGGGCGCCGGGCCGGGGCTCGGCGGCCACGTCCCCGCACCGGGCCGGGCCGCGTCCGTGCCGTTCCGTGCGGCGGGTGATGTGGTCGGCGGGCGGGCGGGCGGCCTGACCTCCCGCCATGCGGCTGTCGTGCAAGGTGGCGGCGGCGCTGCTGTGCCTCGGCAGCCTGCTGCTGCTCTATCTGCTGGCGGGCAGCGCCGCCGAGCCCCCCCGCCCGCCGCCCGCGCCCTCCGCGCCCGCCCGCCCCGCCGTGCCGCCCGCCCGCCGGCAGCCGCGGCTCAGCCGGAGCCCGCCACGGAGGAGCCCCGCCGGGGGCAGGCTCGTCAGCGCCAGGTAACGGTACCGGCTCCGGGGCGCGGGAGCTAGCCTGGACCACGCGTGACCGGCCGGCGACCCCCGCGCAGCCACCCCTGCCCCTGCCATCGGCGAGGAGCCCTCCAGGCGCGGCCCGCTCCGGCCGCTGGAGCACGGTCGCTGTCCGGCTTGCGTGGCCTCACGCGTGCCCGGGCCCTCCCGCCCCGCGGGTCTCCTCTGCTATGGCTGGTGTCTCTCGGCCGCCCGGTCCTTGGGGCACGCCCCTGTCCCAGGTCGGTTTCCCCTCGCGTCTGCGAGTGACCAGCGATTAGAAACTCTTCTGCAAACTGCTCTGGCTGCCGAAGCACAAACTTTTTCCTGCCAGTTTTCACTCGGAGCGTGGTTGTCAGAGATGCCACGAAAGTACGTGGAGGTCTCGCCTCCGCCTCTGGTCCCTGCATCCAGCGGGGCGATTACCCCCGCTGCGTGCCTGTGCGACGGCGGCCTCTGGAATAGCCGCTTTTTCATGAGTTTGGCCTTGTTTTGAAGGCTGACGTGGGGGAATGCGGCACTCGCTGCCTGGAGCCCGTGAGGAGCCGCTGTCAGTCTCGGGAGCTACACTTAATACTAATTTGTCGCTAATGCCCCCGGGAGAAGGGAAGGTGGCTATTTATGTCTGGTACCGCTGGGTTCCAAACTGCAAGGCATCTGCGGATTTTAAGCTTTTTATTTTGCATACCTTTAATATGTAAATTAATTTAGCGGAACTTTAAAAATGAGCTTAAAGTCGTGGTGTGTTGCGTTTCCTCTTTCAGCACCTTACAGGCAGAGTATTTGTTAAAAAACTAATTACTTCAGCAAAAGATGTGGGCAGCGTGCTCTCGGTGGGTGGAGGACTGTTTTCGCCTTTGCATTCCAACTATATTATGGTCAGTGTGACCTCATATATCTAATTAACTTGGTATGTCTTTGTGTCTTTGATTCACGATTTCACAGATATGTTCTGAATGAAAGCCTGTTCCTGTTTTTTTGAGCTCTTATTCCTTAACTTATTAAAGCAGTTGGTTTCTTACCAGCATTGTTACCCTGCTGAATGCAAGAGATGTTTACCGTGGCTGAGAATGGGTCATGGGCAGAATTCAAATGTGTGTATTAAAGCAGGATTATTTCCACTAGCAACTGTACCTCCTGAAGTCATTTTTCTTTAAGGCATATCTCAGCGATTATCATGGAAATCAAGAACACTGAAGGAAGGAGCCCAGAAAGTGTGAAACTGCTGGAGAGAATAAACAACTGTTCCATTCCAATGAGCTTTTCAGTGAGCATCTTCATGTTCCAAAGTTTGACATTATCTAACTTTTCTATTATTCATTGACTTTGAAAGTACTTCTTACAAGGTGTGCAGCACAACACAAAAAATACTCAATTTAAACCCTGCCACTTCTTCATTTTTTTTGTTTGGTTATGCGTTTTTTCGGTAGGTTTTGGTGGGCGTTGTTTTCCCCTCACATCTGCTGGCAGCACATGATCCCGAACCACTGGCACCAGCAGGAGCTTGTGCAGAAGAGAAGCACAATTCTGTGGGTCCAGTTCTGCCCCTTGCTGAAAGATTGCACAATGTGTTAGCTACTATGAAAATAAAATTTATTTAAGTCAGAGTGTCCATAAAAATAATTTTTTTTTTTTTTTTTTTTTGCTGGGGGAGTGTGTGAGATAATGTGGTCCAAGGCAAGGAGATGCTTGTGTTCTTGGAAAGGCAGAAATACCCACCACTGTGTGATGAATCACATCCAGACTCACATGGTGAAATCATCAGGTGGTGGGATCTGCTTGGCTTTAAAAAGCCTGATCCTGAGTACACCAAAGGCAGTGAGAGGGGCTTCAATTTGGAGTGGAATAAATGGACAATGATTTAGGTAGTTACTAACTTGAGGGTTGAGTATTCCCCTGGATATAATAGGCTTTGCTCATGCATGTGCTTACAGTAGAGTACATCCAATGTAACATACTGAATTGGGGTTGTTGCCAATTCCTTCCTATAGTATAAATAATTTTATTTTAGTCACTCCTTATGTGCAAAGGAAAGCATTTTTTATTTGCTGTGAGAGACGTAATATGGTATGATTCCTTCAGGATAATAAAACATAGATTATGACTGCGTAAGACCTTGTGACCTGATCACATTTTAGGTGTTTCTATGTAGACTGCATGATGGACTCAAATAACCCTAGTGAAGTTTTGTCTACATGAATATAAAAAGTTGTTTTAATTCAGTTTTGCCAGGTTGATCTGTGTAGTTTCATCAGAAGGATGCAGCTTTGGGACTGAACTCAGAAATAATCAAAGATGTTATTTAGGATGCATGTTTGCTGTGTAAGAATCAGTCATGTCGCCAGCGAGGGCAATTGTGTTTTAACTGGGATTTTGTAGTACTGCTTTCTTTAGTGTGCTTCGTGTTGTTATGTGTGATAATAACAGAAAATACTAAGTTTGTAAGAACTGCAGGTTCCTTCTACTGTAAGTAGTCATATGTAATAAAAGCTGAACTCAGTCACACAGCATCAGCTGGCTGGTATGTGGCAAATGCTGGGAAATGTGTTCATATGTCCTGCTTTGGTTACTAGATAATTTTGGCAAATCTAGGTGAGCATTGCATTTAAGTTTCTGGTTAGCTCTGAAAACTGACTTTTGATGCTGGCTTTATTGATCCTTCCTCTTGGAAGTACTAAGTCCTCTGCCTTCAGTAAGGTTTTTTTTTATATGTATAATTATAAGTATGTGCCAAACCAATGTGTGTAAAGTATCAAAAAGCAAAAGGGTTATTGTACATTTGAAGGGCAGATGTGACCACACTTTCTATTAAACCAGCGTGGAAGTGAACCTTTGCCAGCACATTTAGTTCCCTTGAAATGACTCTTCCAAAGGAGAACATTTCTTATATGGTATCCTGTCAAGATACTTTCTCTTTCTTTGCAGTCTGTGTGCACACATACAGGTTTGGCTCAAGTTTGATAGCCTGTAATGACATACTGAAGGCCCAAATACCTCAGACTTGTCTAACAGGGAGCCTACTTGATAAAAGAAGACAGAAACATCCATTCTGATACAGAGTGGTTTTCTTCCCTTTCTCTGAGCAGTAGGAGGAGGTTGAAACTTCAACAGTTTTTTGATTGTCAGCAGCTACAGTTTTGTGCAACTGCATTAAATTAGGAAAACTATTAAAAAACATTTAGAGCTTTCTAATTTATGTTTTAAAGTCTGTGAGGGAATGTGTTTCATATAATGAAGCCACTGTTGGGACATTGACTCACTGGGGCAGTGTTGACTGTCAGGGAGAGAGCCTATTTAGTGAATCACTAGTTTTGATATAATGCCTAAATCTAACCTTGTTTATACTGCAAGTGTAAATGAGATCATAATATGAAGACCTTTTCAAAAACTAGCAACTCTACTGCATTTTGTAAGAATCTGCACGCATTATCTGTCAGGAATGAATTTGGAGGCTTGACTAGATTAACAGGGTCTGTAGCGAGATGGGAATGCATTACTTTGAATGGATCTGGATTGATTTAGACAGGTTTTGGGTTCATTATGTTTGAGACACTTTGGCTGTGACTAATAAGAAAATTGCATGTAATCTAAACTTTAAGGCCTAGAAATGCTCTCTGTTGTGCTGGAGCACTCAGGCCTCTGCTGTCTCAGTAACCATGCCTGTCAGAAAAAAATGTATACCGTAAATAAAATACTGTTGGGCAACTGGATGGGAGTTGGTCTGGCTTGTTGGAAAGAAGCCTTTGGTATAACCATTTTATTGTGCTATGTCTTAGCAAGCCTGTCTTCAGCTGTTTCAGATGGATGTATTCTGCAAGTATTTGGTGGTGTTTTCTGTAGTGCTTAATCTTAGGCAACAGTGCTTAATTTTAAAGCCATATAATAGCATGAGAACAGCACATAAGGGAGAGCAAGAAGCATTTTTATCTGAACAGCTCAAAGAGTTAGGCATGTTATGTAAGTTAGATTTCTAATACATCAACAAGCTACATTTATGTACTGAAATTAGAAGAAGGATATCAAGGCCTGTAACAAAAACCTTGTATATTTAGTTTATTTGTTCTTGTTAAACATGTTAAACTCTAAGGCCCAGGTCATTGTATTGTTTTAAATGCATTTAAACATCTAATTTAGATTGTAAAATCCAATCATAGGCTCTGTCCATAGCCAGTACGTTGGACTATAAATGAATGTGTGTGTGAATGTTAGGAAGAATTAGCTAATAATAATAATTGTAGCACTCTGTGGATCTACATGCTCTTTTAATGTGCTTGGAAGTCTCTTGAGGTAGGTTACCATTAGTACTATAACAGCTGCTCCTCTTTTATGGGTAGGACAACTAAAGCAGAAAGAATTAATGACTCGCCCAAAGCTTTGCAAGGACTGACTTACTGAAATAGAGCTGAAACCAATGCTCACTCACCCTTCAGCCACTCACTGAGTACTTCTCTGTGTCAAAAGCCCATCAATGTCTTAGTTTGATACTTACCAATATATTATTTCTTGCTTGCCAGCTGTTTTTTATATATCACATTTTATCCCTTGTACAGTTTACCACAGTATTAACATACTGCATCCTTTAAAACAAAGTATGCATGTTTTGTGTTCCATTAGTTATGTTGTCCAGGAACACCTGAGCAGGGAGTGTATCACAAAGCCTTCTGCTTCCCAGCATGTTTGCATCAGCCGCTGGAAACTGCATGATAAATAAACGTTTGCAATTAGAGGAGACATCCTCTAACATCAGGGTATTTAAAAGATGTGTAGATACGGCACTTAGGGATATGATTTAGTGGGGGACATAGTAGTGTTAGCTTTATAGTTGGACTTGAAGGTCTTTTCCAACCTAAACGGTTCTGTGGTTCTACAACTCAGGATTCAGTATGTACCTTATATGAAACCTCAGCTTAAAGCAGCTTTCGTTAAGCAGTAAGTCTGTTTGAATGAGAAGGCTCCTGGTGCCCAGCCCAACTTAACCCCGGTAGAAATGAAGTAGCTGCCCTATTGGTATGAGCTAATTTCTAACCTGCAGTTTCTTTCCTTACAATACGTGGTGGAGGCTCTCATGCCTTCATGAGGGGATCCAGCTAAGCCAGCACAGCCATTTATTCTGTATAAGGGAGAATAGATGCTGTTGGTCAAACTGGAACTGTTTTGGTTTGACGACTTTGGCTGTATCCTGCAGACCTTTAAGGAATATCCTTTGACTCAGATTATATTTCTCCCCACCCTTTGTTCCTCCTTTCACTGTAAGTACATGTGTGTAAAGAGGAGGGATGGGGAGTTGTGACGTTCTTTGCTATAACTGGCTCTTTTGCCTTCCTGGCAGTTTGACTTTGCCTTTACACCTGCTTCTTTGCAGACTTCTGGATAATAATAGTAATTTTATGAAGGCTAAGCTAAAATTGCTGTCAAATGCATCTTGCTGTGGCACTTTCTTATCTCCCTTACCAGCTCATCTTTGTTTTCACAGCCCTCTTGTTTTGCTTATGTACTTCTTAACTAACCGTTGCCCCCAGTGTCCCTACTAGGGCAGTTGAAGTACAGCCTCGTGCTCCTTTTCTTGGGGATTTTTATGCCTATTTAGGCCACTGCAGGCTCCCGAACCCCTTCAGTCCAGGCCTTCAAGACTCATAATGCTTCATCTCTGAGGCTCTGGTCTCTGGGGCTGAGAGGGTGTCTTTGTTGGCAGGCAGGATGTCTCTTACTCATCTGCAGCTCCCATGGGCTTACAGGGCATTCTGCTTTCATCAAGAGTTGCTTCTGCTGGGTCTGTTTGTTGGAAGTGCTTGTCTACATATACTGTCTTTTTCACTAAGAAATAGCTGCATAATGTGGAGTTCACTGTGGCTAAAATTGCAAAGAAAAGCTCAGTGCTTTGGTGTTGGGTTTTGAAATGTTGCAATAAAAGCTTAGAGTTTAGTCCCTCTCCCAATGAATTCCATTGCCACAAGCTATATCAAAGCAGTTCTCATCTTGCATATGGCTTGATTTAGAGACTCAATTAAGAGGAAACATTAAACAGATAGGGAGAAGGGGGGAAAAGGGGATCTGTGTGAGCAGCTAATTATTCACTTCAATAATTCAGTGGTTTTTACACTAATAGGTTGTAAAGTAAATACCACTTCACAGAGATGTAGTATTCAATTATTTATACACTGATGAAATTGGGGTTTAATTAAGAGTAAAGCCTAAGACTTTAAACCCTTAATGAAACTTGTTGCTGTGTATAGTCAGTAAGTACCACTGTCTGGTATTCCTTAACACAGAGGTGGGTTACACTGCTGTTACACAGAGCAGCATTTTAATGTCTGGAAGAAGATAGTGACAGCTTTATGACTGTCATTTTTCTCTTTATTTAGAACTTTTGTTTCAGATATTAACTTTGCTGATTAATTGCATGTATGTAATTGTTTGTGCTGAGAAGAGGCAGGGATTGATGCTCTCTGTTCAGTGATATGTCAAGAACTGGTAGTGATCTATGATTAGCCTTTTGAACTCTCCCATAATGATTACGATGCCTGTGATTTAGTTGCTTTGTCAGCACACATCCATGTAATGGAGTATAAATGCCATCCATGTTGGAATGTGAATACAATACAGTAGAAACATTCCTGGAGGATGTGATTTATACCTCTCCATACTGATGGGGGGACACACAAAACCAAAAGGACGTATTTTCACAATGTCTTCTCCCCAAAAGAACCCTGATTTTTCTGGCCAGCAAATGGACTCGGTGCCTTCTCCACACAGATTCCCCTATAGTTTAGCTTAGATTTAAAGCCCACATAGATGGATGCTCGGTGAAAACCCTGTAGTTTGGTCCTTGACTGCTTGTGGAATGTAGTCTGATTCATCTGGGACATGTGAATCTGTTTGTTTTTAAAAATCCCTATTTTAGCAAAATCTCAGGCATTCCGTGGGGAGAAATGGAGAGTGGTCCTTTGGAACTATGCCAGTACCTTCAGGCCAGGATTAAGGCATGCTTTTTTAATAGCAAAATTAATTAACTCTTAGAATAATTTACATATGGATGGAGTGGATTTTTTGAAAGTATGGGTGTCTTCTTCCAGCCTAGCCATTATGGGCCTGGTAATGAAGTTACTGGATGTGGCTCTGCAATCTGCATTTTGTTACAAAGTTGGCTGGGTAGTAATCAGTCCATTCTGGCTTCATAACATCTAAGCTGGGGGAAAAGAAAACAACTATCATTTGCACAGAGCGAGTTGTTGTCTGGTTTGAGATGCTGTTGAATTAGTTTCATCTGTGTGTGTAGCACAGTGATTTATGCAAATCCAGAAATGCAGGGATAACTAGAAAATCTCTGAAAATAGTGTATTTCTTTGTGTTGTACTTTTAAAACTATTGATTTGTGCTGTTGACAAAAAATGGCATGTGGCTCGCATGTTCTGCGGGTATGTAATCAGGAACAAACTTCCTGATCCCTTACAGAATGAAGGGGAGTAAAAAACCTCCCTGATACCTGTTAATGCAGGATTCTCTTTATGTCTCTCTCAGTATTTCTTCTATGTCTATTTATGAATTTCCAGGAAGCCTGGAGAACAGAAACATTCAAAAGAGCCTTCATCTTTGCAATGCATGCATCTGGCAGTTGTGGCATGTGGGGACCGGCTGGAAGAGACGCTGATCATGCTGAAATCGGCACTTCTCTTCAGCAACAGAAGGCTCTGTTTTCACATTTTTGCTGAGGATTCCCTTAAGCCTGAATTTGAGAAGAAGGTGAGTTTCTTTGTCATTTGGTAAATAAATACATGAGTCACAAGTCACAAATCTCTGAGGAAAATTAGTCTGACATCAACAAGTAGCAGCTAAACGCTTTCTGTGCTGTGCGTGGTTTATAAACTCCTTACAGATGCATATATTTTGTTTTTAAAAAGCTATATAAATGTAGTGTCTAATTCCTCCCCCCATGTCTTTCAGCTGAAGGAATGGCCTTCCTCATACACAAAGAAGTTTGAATACAACATTTACCCAATAACCTTCTCAGTAGGAAATGCTCAGGAATGGAAAAAGTTATTCAAACCATGTGCTGCCCAGCGCCTTTTTCTTCCGGTAAGGCACCTGAATTCTGAGTGGGTTGCTTCAGGAAAAGGTTGATTCCACCAAAAGGAAGCTTTGTTAATGTAATATTAAAACCATTTTCAGTCTAAAACATCTGCTTAGAGATATTTTAGTCCTATGCTTTAGCCACTTAAAAGCAAAACAAAACAGGAATCCAGCCTCACTTTTTCTCCTCCTAACAAAGGATGTGTGTTTCTTATTTGTCTCTAGTTCCATTAGGCTCTCAGCCTTTTAAGACTCAGTGCAAGAGCTCTTTCAGGGCAGATGCTTTCAGGGTAGATGCTGCATACCTTCCATAAATAACATTATTTTCAGTGTGCAGTCATCATATCCTCTTTACCCACTATCTCCCTTTCCATATGTTAGTCCTTAGACTGATGCTTTTGGCAATCCCTTTTCCTTGAGTTTTATTTCTTTTTCCAAGACAGTCAGATTTGCCCTTAAGGTACTAATTCCAGTGTGTTCCAAGTCAGATTTCATGCAAAAGCATTGTGTATCCTGGGATCTTCAGGCTCACTGGAAAGCTGTATTTTTTGCTGTATAATATGTGTCATAAACTTGGAAAACATATAATGTTGCTGGAGAGAAGGGAGGTGTTGATAACAATTTTGCATACACAGAATATCAAAATGGAAAGAACTTTTGCATAAAGCGATTTCTGTGGAATTGAGAACATCTGTCAAAAATATCTTGTGCATTGCTGTTGATTGGGGTGACTCCAGTAAGTGACAGGCTATTCACATGATCCAGATTTCATTGCTGCCTTACCAGAAATGGGGGAGGATGACAAAGAAATCTTTACTTTCTCAGATGGAAACAATCAGGAGACAGCTGCGGGTCCAGAGACGTAGGCTATGAATGCATATGTGAGAAAATATGTGCTGTCAGCAGTTCTGTTTATCTGCCATTTAGGGGTAGACTATCAAACACACAGAGGCCAGATGGGCTGAAAGTAACTCCAGCTTCAGCAGGAATGCTGTCTACCCTGAGTAAATATTTACATCACCTGGAAAATAATCCCCAAGAGTTAGCTTGTTCAGTACAGATTGTTTGTAGGGATGTACTCAAATGGGACACCTTTCACTGCGCAAACACAATTCTCTGTTCTTACTACGGTGATAATTTTTGGCATTTTGGTAAACTCTCATCACAGAAACAATTTCACTTTTATTTGCCACTACCTTTCTGATGACAGAAAAGGGTTATGTATCCATTCTGATTCCTTTAGCCTGGGCAGTGCGTTTTTGGTTCTTTTTTTGCCACTCACATGTTGCCAAAGTTCACCAGTAATGTTCTGTAAAGGAGTGTTAGAGCATTGCATATTGTCTTATCAAAGCTAGGAGGCAGCCTGAACTGTAAATGTTTGTTTTTCTTGGGGCAGTTGCAAAATGTTGTGTGTGTTCAGGCTGAGATTTATGGCTTCAAATGGGGGGGGGGGCGGTTGTCCGAGAGTAGTTGCAGCTGACACTTAAGTTGATGTGAATATAGTAAAGAAAACAAGTTGTAGTAATAGCTGTGGTGGCAAGAGTCCAGTTGGACTTTGGTATTGAAGTTCACAGGGTGACAGAACCTTGGGATGTTCCTGGGTAATTTCAGCCACAGTTATTATTTACTTTGGTGCTTGATAAGGAGGTTCTGATATCCCATTTGAATGAGCCAGTGCTGTAGAAATGCAGTCGGCACACAGTGGGAGCAGAGGGTTGCTGGTGGTATTGCTTACAGAACTATTTTGCCTTAGATTTTAAATAAATACCAGCAGGATGTCAGCATCCTTTTTTTTTTCCCCTTAGCCTTCCCTGCAATAAGCATTTTCCCCTGCGGTGGTATAAAAGGTGCCTGGATTTAGGGAGGATCTCAGGAGAGCAGTAGTTATCAGCTGTTTAGCTCTTAGTTGTGCAAATTGTCTTTCTCCTGATAATGCTAAGCCTGAGTGGAATGTGAGTCTTTGATTCACAAGTGGCTCTCCTGCCAAAGCAATCTCTTCTACAGCACCAGCAGGCATGTGAAAGTGGACAGGAGGGTGTGAGGAATGTGTTAAGAGAAAATTGCTTAAGAATCTTTCAATGGTTTTACTCACTGACAAAACTAGAGCTCTGGGATGTGATCCTGCAGCTTGTAGTAATGAACTGCTTTGTCCTGGAGAACAGGCTGATGTTGATGAAACCATTCTCAGTTTGTTGAATCTACTGGGCTTGCTAAAGTATTAAGATCATACAGCATCCTGCATTTTACAGAGGTGTTCTGTGACATCTGATCATGTTTGCCTCTTACATGCAGGGAAAGTAGATTGAGCCTCCACATAAACTCAGAAGTCTAAATCTCTTGCAGCAATCTACTGCAATAGAACAATCAATGAGATTTGCAAAGACAGAATATGGATGGATCTTAACATGAGCACAAAAGGAAACTTCAAAAATTAACCAGGAGGGTAATGCTCTCAGCAATCACTTGAAACTGTTTTGTATACTGATATGGATGTTAAGACACCGGGTGAAAAACTGTCTTCTGGTCTCACAAATGTCACAAACCACAGAGCTGCCCTGCCGCTGTCTATATTGCTGGTTTGGAGCTACCAAAACAATCAGCTAAAATGAAATGCTTAAGGGATTTTTGGATGATTTTAGCTCTCATAGTAACTAACATTTAGAACCCTTCTCATAACACTTAATCTACTTAGGAGCTTTTAAGGTAGATTAGCAATATCCCTGTATAACAAATGTCCTTTTGAGTACATGAAAGGATCCAACCCAGTGGATCAGTGGCAGCACTGGGAATTAGTGGCAGCACTAGGTAAGTTACCAGGATCTTATCTAGACGAAAGTTTCTGCATCTGACTTAATTTCTTAATACAATTAAGTTTAGTAACTCAACTTTGTGGTACTGCTCCATTAGCATCAAGATTTGTGATTTGTCCTTAATTCTGGATAAAGCTCTGATTAACTTCCATGCTGGCCATTGCAAACCATTAGGTAGCACAGCTTCACAGTACACCAGTATGTGTGTTATTACTTGCCAACCTTGCTAACACAGGCAGAATCTATGGAGACAGAAGTTGTGAAATCGAATTACAGATAACTGAGTATTTAAGTGAAGTGTTAGGCTAAATATAGGCAGTTCTGTGCAGAGCTTTTTGACAGATTATTAAGAATATTTTATATAGCTGCAAGAAAATCACACCTCTCTTAAGCTGTTCATGCCAGTAGCGTGAGGAGGAAGACAGGTCCAGTGAAGCCATGTTTCTGACCAGTCGTTTCAAAAATCACAGTCTCTCAGGTATGTCTGCATGCTTTGAGCTAGCAAGTGTGAACCTGGGCTACCAGACAGTCTTGCATGGCTTATGCTCCATGTCAGATGCATGTCATTTTTAAGCTGCAGTTATGTTGCTCTGGTTGGCTGTCCTGGCAGGCTCAGAGCACTCCTAGCCCTAGCTGTGCAGCATCTGGAGCAGGCAGAACAAGCTGGAGCTAAGTCTCTTGCACCATAGGGTTACCTTGTGGTACTCAACTGCTTTTGACATTGAAAAGCAGCAAGGTCAAAATTCATTGTCTTCCTTGTATGCTTTTGAGTAAGTAAATGCAAGTATTCTGAGGGCTGAGTAAAGCCTAAAATATTTTTTTTCAAAAACTTCTTCAATTTGGGAACAAAAGCTGTGGGTCACTGGGAATGCTGGGTTACTGAAATGAAGTGTATCCCCAGTGTAACTCCACTGAAATCCTGGGAGCTACAATAGGAACTCTTAGAGCCACAATTTCTGCAGTTAAATTCCCCTAAGCAAGGTGAGGTTAAATGCGTAGCCAGAAGGAGATGGGATCAATTCAAACTGACACCACAGGTTTTAAATAAGTCTTAACACTTCACATGTGAAAGAGAAAAGTGTGAAGGGCTTAAAGGAAGTAGCACAGATTTTTTTCATTAGACTGTTGGGTGTCACTGCAGGGCAACACCTTGAACACAGGAGAGGGAAGAATCTTCTGAAAGAGCATGTGAATCCCGAGTGGAGGAATACAAGGTGAAAAACTTCAGGTCAGATGCTGCTGGGCACCTGCTTCTCTAAGAGTTGGAATATCTGCTTGGACCTGTCTGTGTGTAGGAAAATTATTACAGTCCACTGACTTCCACAGTCTTAAATGAATGTGTAGATTTAAGGTTGCTGAAAGAACAGTTTTCTGCTGGAAGAAGCAGTGTCCAGGCTTCCCCCTTCACCCTCTGCTGGAAGATACCCAAACTGGTCTCCCTAGCAGGGTACCCTTAGAAGAAACCTTTCATAGTGTACAGTGTGCCATGGATCCCTCAGGCAAAGCCCAGTATTCCTCATGTGTTATCTTCTGTCTTGGACTAAATTTTAGGGTGATTTTTTTTCTTAACATATTTTAATTTTCTAAGACTTCATATAGTAGGTGCCTATGAACAGGACTTGTAGATGCTGCAGAATAGTACACTCTATCTGGGATACCCTTAAGTTGAAAAACCCATTCTTTTCAACCATCTGACTTCTATTGATTTACTCTTAAAGTAGGATTCTTTTTTTACTTGTTTTTTCTTTAGTACTGGACTCCAGGATACAGAATGTTTGCAAATGTTTGCCTCTGAGCTCCTGGTGTGTTATTGAACTGTGTCACTCGTTTATTTATACCTGCACATGCGGTTTGTATGGTTTTTGTGGAAAAATGGTGTATCGCTATAACCTTCCATCCAGCAAAGGATGGGCATTGTGTTGGATTGTTTTCTTGGAGCTTCTTGTCAGTATAACTTGTGTTTAATATGTAGAGACGCTTGCCTTCTCCTTGTTCTGATACGTAGGAAGAAAATGTAGTTACTATGTCAGGAATACAGGTGAGGGATTTGTTAAACTTGGCTAAATGTCAGTCGGAATCCCAAAGTGTGCAGTCAGGTGAAAAATCCCCTTGAAGTCCATACTCAGGGATTTGGCCTGCTGAGCATGATTAAAGGTAATTTTTTTCCCCACACTTGTTCAAAATCTGTTGCTCACTCTGTTGCACAGGTAATTGTCAGTCACAGTGCACTTCAATTTATGTAAAATTCAATTGATTTAGTAGCATTTACTGTTACCTGCTTGAATAGAGTTTGTCATTAGTATCATTGCTTCATGGAGGAGTGATTGTCCTGTTCACTGAGTGGTGAAAATCAATAGCCTTTTGGATTTGCTTTTTAAAGACAAAAAGAAAGAGAAACGGGGCTTTGGCTGAGACCAATATGAGAAATTTTGAGTCCTTTGGGAATTTTTGAGTTTTAGCAAATAAAAAAGAGCAACAACAATGCAGTTGGAACTGATGGTCAACTTTAGCTAATAATATTTATTACTTAACAGCCATCCTTACAGATAGCTGGTGCAAACATGGAGGGAGTTTTCTTGCCCTGTTGAAGTGCTTTATCATTTGCCCTACTCCAGTTAAGGAATGAGCATGTAAGGATATGGATAGCCACAAGGGGGAACATTGTAAGCAAGACTAGGTGAAATATCCTGCCTCTAATTGACAGTTTATGCCCTTCTGACTTGACTAACTCCACTGTGGTTATTCCTGATAGTCTGATAACAGAAATCAGAATCCGACCTATTGAGTTTTAACGTGACATTTCACTTTACCAAGCAAATTTTGGTCTTCAGGAGGATGCATGTACCTTTTGGTGATCAATGGGGTTTCTTAATTAATGGGGAACATTTGTATATATTAATACTGCATGTAAGTCTCCCAGGAGCACAGGGTTGTAATAGGAAAAACAGTCACTAGAAAGGCATAAGGAAACATGATACTAAATAGAGATGGAAAGTATTCTGTTCTACCAGCTTACCCTTTCTGTTAGTGGAGCAAGCTGTATGTTTCACCACTTACAGATCTTGAAAAGAAGAAAGCTATGTAAATAAATATCCTATGCATTTTATTTCTGAACTGAGACTAAATGGTCCTTGCAGGTACTTTTGAGAGCTCGGTGGATTACTGTTTCATATGAAGGTTAGAATCCAACTTCTGTGGTCTGGTTGCTGTTTGCTGTGCAGTTCGAAAAAAACCCACTAAACAAACAACAAACCAATAACCTGGTAACTGCTATTCCTGTGTGTAATTACATTTAGCTGATAAATCAATAACCTCTTTCAAATTATTCTTTTAAAATAACAGTACCTTCTGCCAATAATCTTCCTGTTGTCTATTTTCTTTTCATCTATTCCTCTCCTTGCTGTGCAAACCCAAAAGGTCATTTTGAAGGATGTGGATTCTCTCCTTTATGTGGACACTGATGTCCTCTTCCTGAGGCCCATCGATGACATCTGGAACATCCTGACAGAGTTCAACTCCACACAGCTAGCTGCTATGGCCCCAGAGCATGAGATACCAAAGATTGGCTGGTACAGTCGCTTTGCACGTCACCCTTATTATGGGACAACTGGAGTCAATTCCGGAGTGATGCTAATGAATTTAACACGGATACGCAACACTCAGTTCAAGGTGAGAAGAGATACAGCTGTTTCAGGAAGGAATGAGCTCTGTATCTTTCACGGCTTGTAAAGCTTAGTATAAAATTACATAAAGTTTGTAATATAAGAAATCTGAAAAATAGAGAGTATATATATATAACTGGGAACTAAAATAAATTATAGGGAAAATGATTATTAAAACAAGTAAAGCTTCCTCAAGAGACCGGAGCACAGAGAACTGCAGATGCAGTCTGTTAGCAGTAGTGAAACTGGCTGCTTAAACATTCCTTTTTCCCTAGAAAGACCCATGAAAGAATAAACTCCAGGATCTCTACTGCAGTCATTGTGGTGTTGTTGAAATTGGAAAGCCTGATGTAAATACCCAGAGAAAATGGTAATGTTTTGTGTCTGCTGTAAATAGAATTTTGAATCCTGCTGCAGATCAAGTGACTCTATGAATTGATATAAATGAGAGGGGAGAATTTTCACTGGCATCTGACGTGTCTCCTCTTTTGTGAAAGGCCTGACTTGTAGAATCTGTGTCTTTCATTGAGCACATATTCTCTAGATCTTCTTTTAAACTTTATTTGCCCCAAGTGGTTTTGTTCCTCAGCCAAAGCTGGGGGTTTCCTGTATTGTTACAGGAACAGCTTGAGCTCTTGGTCTTGATAACCATTATATTCAGGGAATATAATTTTTTGAGTGCATTTTCGTTACTCAGTTTTCACCTTGTCCCTGCGTTTTTGCATTTTTCCACTTTTTCTCCCTCCTGTTGCTCAGAATAGGAAGACTCTGAATAGCAGGAGCTGACATCAGAGATAGACCCAGGAGACCTTGCTTTCCTGTTTAGATAAACAGCACCATCAGCTCTGCTGTTTCAAACCTATCCAGGTCTAACACTTCCTGGCAGTTCTTCATTTTTTACCTGGGGATGTGAAGGGGTTCAGCAGACTTATAAGTAAGTGGTGCCACAGTCTGATTTATACATCACATAATGTCCCTCTACTAACCTGTTGCTTCTGGTTTCTGCCCTGCAGAACAGCATGATACCGAGTGGTTTGAGTTGGGAGGAAATGTTATATCCATTATACCAAAAGTACAAAAACTACATTACATGGGGAGACCAGGATTTACTAAATATAATTTTTTACTTTAACCCAGGTAAGTAATGACTCTTGGGAGTCATCATTAGATTTGTTAAGAACATTTCTCAAACTTGATATTTTTTTCTTAAATGCCATTTGTTATTTATACGTATAATGTATTTGGGCATAAAGTTAATGAGTGAGTACACTAGGATTTACAGCCTGTGAAACTACTTCTGAATGTGGTGCTGCTAGTGGGGCTCAGACTTGGTTCCATTGAATATGTAAATCTGTTTTCTGGAGATTCTGAGAAAATAGGGACGTGTAACATTAATGATCAGATGCAGCAATGAAGTTCAAGTTTTGTGTGTGCTTAAAAAGCACCACTGGACCAGGGCCTGGCTGAAGAAATATTTTTGTTTCAGATGTTTATCTGAATGTGAAATTGCCAAACATTCTCCAAAGCTGTGCTTTATTTTTCTGCAATACAGCTGAATTCTGATATTTATGCAAAGAGTTACAAAGCAGATACAAATGGACACAGCCACTGGAATATCTCTTCTAAAACTGGTGCCCTGCCTACTCTTGCTCCTTCACAGTTCTTGAGAAAGATGCTTCCAGCCTCTCAGCTGAGTGACCCTGCCTCAGCAGGCACCAGGGTCGTGTCATCTATATTCTGCTCCTTACATTTATGCATTTTCTACTCTTCTGTATTCTGCTTGCTCTGAGACTAAGAGCAGCTCTCTCCAGTCCTTGTTCTCAGAGAACAGATGGCATAACCCACCTATCCTAGTGCGGACCAGCATGACCAACACATACGTACTTGTCAGCCCAGCAAAAATGTGATCTTTGATTCCTGCCTGTCAGTCTTGCACAACCCCTCTGAAAACAGCACATAGCATTTCAGTTTGTCCCTTTTCCCGTGAATTGGGGTTGTATTCCCATGAGTGCATTCCCAGGGAACTGTCAAGTTTGGGCATCTGTGTTTTAGAAGGGTATGACTTTCCACAAGTGCTGAGACAGTTTCTGGGAATTCAGCCCCTTGTGAGTATGGTGCACTGGTTACACAGAAGTGACTTCAAGCACTTCCAAACCCAGGAATATCTGAGAAATGCAAGGATTTCAAAACTGCAACATAGTACATGATTCCCAAAGAAGCTGAGGACCTTATTTCATGCTTCTGAATGGATGCTGAGTATCCATTCTTACTTGCTTTTTCTTGTTTCCCATGTGACCTCATACTCACTCAGGTGATCTTAGGAACAGAATAAGTTTGGATTTATATTTATTTATTCTGTTCCCTTTTTCTCTAAGGAGTCACAGGCTGGGTAACTGGATATACCCAAATCCAGGCAAATAAAAGGAGAAAGCGAAAGCAAAGTGATAAGCTAACATCTGTTTGCTGCAGACAGATGTCAAGCATCAGATGTACACCCTCAGTCCTAGGGAAAAAATAAAGTGGAAGAAATCTTCATTATGAAATCATAAATAAATTTCCCAAAAGAAATGAATGTTATGGGAATAGGGCCTACTGGAGGAAGAAGAAGCTGAGGCTGGGTTGGTTGTGAGGTTAAACCGAAGCTGCTAACTTCAGTGTGGTGGAAAAAGAAAAGATTACAGAAGTATTTGAATTTTCTATCAGATCCACATGTTGGGAGTTTCCTGCACCAGTCTCTGGCCTTCCCTTGTAACTGATAAATAATTTTTTATGAATGACGTAACATGAGACTGCACAAGGAAACAAAAGAGCTGGATACAACTAAACCAGAAAACAAGACTTGCCCCAGCTTTTAAGCTGCTGGGTTGTTGAGACCAGTCTGGGAAAGGGTCAGTCAAGATCCTGCAGGTGGCTTTTTGTAGATGCAGTGCATTGGCTTAAAAATGCCCAGCACCTGGGGCCTGGAGAGACGAGCCCTTCTTCCCATCTCTGAAGGCTGCTGTGATGATTGATGGGTCTGAAGGCTTCCAGAACAGCTGGAGCCCGAGTCCAGCTGGGACAGCAAAAATGCACAAACGCGTCACGGTGAGAAGGTCACAAACGCTCGGATGACGTGTGAAAGCTCATGAGCACCTGGTGACATCCTTTCCCCACAGTGACCTCCTGGTGACTGTACTGGGAAACATCTGCTCGGGGTTACCAGAAGGATCCCCGTTACCTGTAGCAGGGTTTGGATCAGACATTACTGCTCTTCCTGCCCTTTCAGCAACACCAGGGAGCAGTTCTGGATGTGTGATGGGTCAGACGGAATGGGCACCATTTACAATCTACCCTTTCTGGACAAGTCTCCTGCTATATAGAGGGAGATTTCTTCCCCTCAAGGGAAGAAATGTTTCAGAAACTTTTATCTCCTACATCTTCAAGAGCCACACAGGACCAGCTGCAGACTTCCTGGGAAGCTAGGAAAGGCCAAGTGAAGAATTCAGTCATCAGTGTGTCTGGCATGACCTGCCAGCATCATGCAATGATTCATTGTGCTCCATTTCTGCAGCAGAAAGGTCACAGGGACTGGTGTCATTTATTATAAGCAGATTGCAAATCCTGTGGGTGCACAGAGAGTTTAAAAAAGGAAAAAGAATCAGTAGGAGAGAGGAAGTTGCAAGCCCTTTTGAGAAATTCAGCTCATCTTTAAATAACCTAGGCCTGTGAAACTAATGGATGGCCATTTTTAGAAGGACTGTGGATAAAATACCTTTTACACTCTGCTGTATCTCAGTATAACAAATTGCCATAGCCTCAGTGAAAGCTTCAGCAGTCAACCCCAGATATACTCTGCAAGTTTTCCCATGCTGTTTCCAGAAGGACTGAGGATTTTGCATAGCCCTGCTGGTTGTGTGTGCCTCCCTAGTCATTTCTGTACCTTCAGAAACTTCTTAGGGGCAGAGGGTGCTGGGTGGTGCCACCTGGTGCACACAGTCTGGGTTTGAGTCTGTCATTTCTAGCTTTGGAAAATGCTGCCCTGGTTTATGTTTGCACCCAGTCTTTGTGTTGGCCTCTCTTTCTGTTAGCTTAGGTCTAACAGTGCTGAGGTTTGTATAGTCATCCCCTGAGGCAAGGAAGCTTCCCTGTGTAGCTGCTGTTTGGGATATTTGCAGAAGAGCTAACTGAATTTTTCCTGATATCAGTGGCAGCTTTTCCACAGAACCATGGTTTAATTGGTTGTAACTCTTGTTTGATGTGTCTTTTTCTTTCCTTCACCCCATCTTCCTTCACTGACATGGGCAGAGTGTCTCTATGTGTTTCCCTGTCAGTGGAATTACCGGCCTGATCATTGTATGTATGGAAGCAACTGCAAAGGTGCAGAAGAAGAAGGTGTCTCTATTCTACATGGAAATAGGGGTGTCTACCATGATGACAAACAACCTACGTTCAAGGCACTCTATGAAGTGATACGTGATGTAAGTCTTCTGTCTTGACAGAGGCAGTCCTTTTATTTCAGTGTAATTATAGCTTTAACCAGGTCACTCAGACCGCTCTTCCAGCAGATCAGGCTGAGCAGAGCTGTGCTGTATGTGCACCCATCAGACACAAGACAACAAGGTTGCTTTGGCCTCTCCTGTTTCACTGCATGCATGTGTTGGAGGTGGTTTAGATGATCTTCATATTATAGTAAAATTCTAATTAAAAAGGCTGATAAATTACTTTTCTGTAATAACAGAGGTAGGAAAAGGAATTGTTTAGATGGAGTTATTCCTGCTAGTTCTGCAGCTCTGGTCCATAAATACCCAAAGCAAGCTTGTCCTCCCTGAGCACCTACAGCTTTGGGGCACACAGAAGGCAAAACCTTGCATATAGACACAAGTCCATATTCCCACTCTGGATGTTGTATGAGTACACCTCCACTCTCTAAAAGCTGTGTCATTACAGTATCCCTGTGTTAGCAAATCTCCTTTCAATGCAGACTCCAGAAATACAGCTTCTGGGCAGTTGGCTGGTTCAGGTAATACACCTTTTCTGAAAGCAGGTGCCCTCAAGCAGAGCAGTGTTTGAAGCTGACAGGCTTTGCTGATGCTGTGGGAATGTGGGGGACAAGTCACTGCCTACCTGCAGCAGGCTCTTTTAAAGAAACTTCTAAAATGCCATTTTGTAACTGGTGAAAACTAATAATTCTTCTTTTCTTGTCTTTAGTTTCCATTTGAAGACAATCTCTTCCAGTCTCTGTACTACCCTCTGCAGTCCAAGTTTCTGGATACAGTGCACACTTTATGTGGGAGAATTCCGCAAGTATTTTTGAAGCAAATTGAGAAAACTATGAAGAAGGTGTATGAAAATCGTGTCATTGTCTACTTGGGTGCCAACCACAGATACTAAATGTAGCTATATATTTTTAAGCAGTTTTCAGTCTTGCACCCCATCTCATGAAGCATAAAAATGAAGAGTACGAACTCCTTTTCTGAAACTCAGAATTAAAATAGTTCCCTTATCCAATTTCCTAATAACCCCTGAAATTACAAAACCAGAGGAAATCCTAGGACCTAAGCTGTCTTTTGTTCTCTTCTCGTGTTTACTCTTGGTTGTACCAGGGAGAGGTGAAGATTCTCACTTTCATTTGATGAGTTTAGTTTGCTTGTTTAAGAACAGCTGTATTCACTGTAGCCTGTACAGATCTTAGGCTTGACAAACTATGGTTTGAACCATGTGACGTCAGGAGTATAACTCTGAAATGACAGGGCAAATATTCTTGACTCATGAGAGCACTGAATTACAGAGCAGATCACTTGTGTGATAGGATCAGTTAAAATTTACTGTAGTAAAGGGAAAGAATTTGCTTAAAATTGCACTTCTGTCTCGAGGTATATTACCTGCTGTTCTTCACACGTAGGACCTAAGATTTCTCTTACTTAAAAGAATTAGAGGAATAGAAGTGCCTCTTTGTACTTTACAGCACTTTTTGTCTGGTGATTCTCATTTTTTCCCTTCTGCTCTTCAGTAGTTTTGTGGGGGCATCTCATGAAGGAATTACAAGGAAAATAATTGCAGCATCAATAGGAAGACTGTACAAGAAATGTGAGGGGAATGCAGTGGAAGCTGTGGCACCTGCACAACTAGTGGAGAACAGCAACACAATCCTTTCTTGTGGTGTACGGTCATGGTCTTCCCCTCCAGTGTCTTACAGTTTTAAGAATGTATCTATAATTTGGTAATACTAATTGCGTTAGACACAGTCCAAGAATATTGTGAATGAAGAGAACAAAACCAGATACTGTTGATCTGGTTTCCTCTTTAATTAATCCTCTCTAATTGCTGTTTACTGCACAGTAACAGTAGTATGCAACTGACAACCAGGGATGCTGCGACTGCTGCCTCTGACTCACCTTTCCGGTTCACCAGAAACTTGGGGTATAGACATAATTTCTGCCTGGTACTTTTGTCCGTGAAAGTTGAGAGTTTTATGGTAGGATCATAATGAAGATCCTCAAAGTGAAAGAGGATACAGGATGGCTTTAATGCTTATTTAAAATACTTCATGTAGTTTAGGTTTCGCAAGTATGATGATCACCTGATGAGATTCACACACAACAGCTTATTAAAACTAGCAGTAGCTGAAAGGTGCTTGGCACAAGTCACTGGGAAAGTGAGGATGCTCTTAAAGAGTGGTGATACAAGAGCAGACTCCCAGAGGGTGTTTGCTAAGTGTAAGCCCCGAGGGGTGTGTGTAGGTAAGTGCTTCAGGAAGACAGCAGAGAAAATGATCTTACTTATCAGGTCTGTTCAGCAGGTAAAATTAGCCATTGCTTGGAACTACTCACTTTAATAGGCAAAGTAGGAGAGGGGTGAGAAGGGTGAGATACATGGAGCTTTCTTGTACTGAAAGGCAAACCGATAGAGGTTGTATGTCCTGTACACGTAATGTGTGTTTATTAGCAATAACCATCCTGGGGGGTGTGAATGAGTGAAAAGGATATGTGTCCTAAGTTAAAACGTACGATTTCTGAAAAATTGCAGTTTTGGGGGTTTCTGCCCTGTCCAGTCAGGGCTGATGCACAATTTCGTAAGAAAAGAGACTCCAAGAGAAAGTCCTTTAGGTTTGCATGTTCCTCTCTCCCTGTGTGGCAGCTCCTGAGTGGAGGGAAAGGCAGGCCCTGCTGGCATCTCAGCTGCAGTGAACAGCCTGTACACAGGATGAAGCACCGGCAAACACCAGCGTGTGAAAACGCCTGTGACACATCCGTAAGTGCTGGGTGAATGACACAAGGTGGCTAACGGCATCACAGGAAGCATCTGAGTAGAGGAGGTGTTAAGATAGAGGCTTGAAATAAGGGACATACTATCTTGGTCCTAGCAGTCTCACTGCTGCTCTCTGCTAGTCCTCGCAGGCAGGACAGACAGACAGAAACTGTTGTTTGCGGGCTGTGTGCTGCAAATTCTAATCAGTGATTTGTGTGATTCTGACTCTCATCCCTTCTCTTGCAGTTTGCCACTAATGTGTAAATTGACGTGCAAAGGAGACAGGCAGCTCTGCATCTATTTTGATTGAAAGCACAGGACCCAGAAAGACATTTAAAGTGTAGATGTTACTGCTTCTCCAACTTAGTATTGTCTGGTTTAACTGAAGTTTTAGCCGCCACTTAAAAAGAACAGAACACTTCTAGTTGCAGAGAGGAGTGTGAATGTGACCCAAATGAACACTGAAGACTTCAGAGTCGGAAGGCAATGAAAGGCAAATTCAGCATGCTGTTTTAAAAAGTTTAAGATCATCTAAGCCTAACGTAGGTAGGTAGGTAAACCTTTCAGGATAGCAATACTGAGAGCTTATAAAAAATACTTGCTTATATTAGCTTGCTTTTTGATCTTTGTTTTCAAGTATCAGGGTAAAGCTGACTGTGGGTCAGATGAGGCCAGATGAGGTGCATGCTGGGCACTCTGAATTCCTCATTTCTATGGTAGCTACAAGCCACGGAAAGTTGCATAGCAAAAGTCCTGTTGCCCAGACAGTCATAACTCTGGTGCTAAGCCTCTGAAGTTTGGGAGGCTGGGATTGTGTAAGCTGTGATTCAGCAGAACCCAGCAGCTACGGGCACATTAAAATGAAGGAATGGAATTCATTACAAAACAAAAGCATTTTTGCATTTAAAATTATTAGAGATGAAACCAGTGCTTTTTATGTTTACAAGAGGTGCTACATTATGTTTAGAAGGAATTGTGTTATATTCTCAACAGCTATTAAAATTTAAGAAGTATATGCTTTAACATGAAGACTTTTTTTAATATAATACCAACTTGCAGGAAGAAAGGGGGAGACTCCCCCCTGCTGAGCTGCTTCTGAGCTCCCCAAAGTGGCTTAAAACAATTCTGTAACTTCAGTTTTGTTGCTGTTACAGTTATTAATATATGTTTTATTACTGCTTCCAAAACCATGATATATTTTGGTTTTAACAGTAGTTGATTCTAATATTAATCTTATTTAGAAACCAGTTTTAATTCCTTTCCTGTTTCATACTTGTGGCTAATTCCTTGTTAATTAGCCTTCATTTATTTTAATAATGGGATATGTAAATACGTATATAAACTTTATATCCTCACTCCCCCTTCCTCTCATGTATTTTAGCTATTTCCAATGACATAGTGTAATGAAACCACCTTTGCTAATGTAATACCCTCAGCAGTGTCAGGCTAACGTAGGGGGTAAACAAAACCAGTTTTCTTTACACTCCAGCACATGGAATGTATGGGTAACAAAGGGAAAGTATCCCCTTGCACACTGAGAAGGAAGCAGCAGGGTACAGCAGAGAACTGTGCCTGCTTCATCTGAACTTAAGCCCCAAACCAGCAAATGTTGGATACTCTGAATTTTGCCTGTGTATTCGGGGGCTTATATGTAGTGCATAATGCTAAGCATGTAACCAAGTCCTTGCTGTATCAGCGCCAGATATTCAGGGTTTAAAGTTGCTATATTATACTTGAACTTGCTGAAGACAGAAAAATAGGGGCTTTGTAGTAAGTGCTGCTGAGCACCTTCTTTTAGCTCAAAGCCATTTAAAAGGCATCAGGCTACCAGTGCACGTTGTACCACAAAGAGCTGCCGGAGTGGGAAGCATTTGGTCGCATCATTTCTCTAATGTGAGAGTTTCTCCAGGCTATTTGCCTGCATGTTACAAAGCAGGCTTAGATAGCTACACTGTCCTGTCACTTACAGGAGGAAACTGGAAACCACTCTGTGTGTGTGTGTGTGTGTGTGTGTTTGTAATAGGAGCGTGTGTGTAAAGAATTCTGTACCTTTTCTCTGTCATTTAATTGCTCATGTATTTTTGTTTGACAAGTGCACCAATTGTTTATAGCTCCCAAGGAGGCCTAGCAGTGCATTTCTTTGTTAAGATCCTTTGGCTTACAGTACAAATAAATGAAGTTTTAAGCAAGCTCTGTATTTTGATAGTTTCCTTTTAAATACAAGATTTTGTGTCTCTGTGTGTCAGGGGGTGATGGGTCTGATTGGGATGGAGTTTTGTATTGGTGGTGATGATACAGTGTGTGTATGCAAAGTATGTCTGCATTGAGCAGAGAACAGTGTTCCTCTTTTACAATTGCACTGTAGCAAGAGACCATTATATTGGATATGTTACTGAAAGAGAGAAATCCATACCTTTAACTTGCCTGAAAGTGCTAATGTGTCATGCTACAACTCCAGGTGCATTACAGTGGCCATAGATCAGAACCTGATCTCAAAGGAAACCAGTTTCACCTTTTTAACATTTCTCCATTATTGTTTGCTCCCTGGAGGACTTGGCCATTTAGCACCATTTCCCTTCCCTTCTTCTGGTATTAAATCTTAACTTTTGACACTGTTGTATGGTCACTGCTGCAATCTCCTTGGTTGTGCCATAACATCTCTGTGCGACACAAGCTCATGTTCAGCCAAGCCAGTTGCCAGCCTGGTGATGAAATTGATTCCTCACTTGCTCATTGTTTGGTATGTTGGGCTCAGCCACGTTTGCTTCGAAGTCAGGAATAGAACTCACAAGAAAAGGTAAGGGCAGCCGTAAAACAACAGTTCTCTGTCCAGTTCTGCTCTGTCCGTGCCTGGGAGGTGTGTACTTGGGTGATGTTTTGGTTACATGTTCCATGATAAGTCTGGTCGGTGATGTCCTGATCCGAGGTTTTTCACTCGCAAGCATGGCTTCAGTCAGTTTTGCTGTGGGCACGAGGCACAGTTTTTGTGAGGTAGGGGCTCTGCAGAAGTCCCCCGGGCACAACAGCGAACAGGATGGGCACTTCCCTGCTGCTGCTGAGCTGTGATTTTCCCTGTCCCCACTGCTGTACAGCTGGGTTTGTTACATCAGTCTGAGTCGCAGTGGCTGCAGCTCTCCTTCTTGGAACAAACACTTCGGTTCACTGAGGCTATGCCTTGGAGCTCAGTTACCCACAGCTGAGGGACATGGATACTGGAATCATCTTCTTCCGTGCCCTCACTACTGCACACACATTGGTGGCCATGGTTTGGACTCCAGGATACATCATGGAGCATTGACTCTAAACAGAGCTTGGCTGTCATTTTACATTCATCCCATAAGTAGGGTCCTAGTAAAGGTAACTTCTCTCTGTGTTCTGTGACATTCAGAGCTGCGAATAAAGTACAACTAACTGAAGAAAAATGGAAGACGTTTAATACTGGGATAAATCTTGACACGTTACCAGCTTCAGCACAAACTGTGGATCATTTGATTTCAAATAATTTCCTTCCCACTGCTTCAAGAAGAGATTCCTCTCCCAAGAACGTAACCATAAAGGATCCAACTGTCAGAGAATGTTCTGCTCCTCTCCGTTAGATACAAACACGATGCCATTAAAGGGACACCAACTACACCCCCCCAGAGGTCGTATGGCACAAGTACATGGGCTGTCCCCAGCAGAGGCTGGACTGTTCTCCCACTGTGCTTATGAGGCCAGTGCACATCTGCACTGGGATCCATGCAGAGCACAGGCTTCCACTGGCATGAGATAAGGAATTGCTGTTTGTGCTTCCAAAGAAATAGCAATGTTTAGAAATTTTGCTTTCATCTCTGCTCAGACTAAAAAACCAAACTGTCAACACTTCCTTTGAAATGAAAATGAAAATTGAGACAAAACACCAAGATGAGAATGGCCATTTAAGATTAACAAAGCACTTGGCTGTGTTTTCTTTTGAAGTAAGATGTTTTGTTTTGATTTCTACATTTCTATAAATAAATCATAATTGCTTTTATTTGAAAATACAGTATAGTCCAACAATGTGTAATGGTGTCTTAGAACTAACCCATTTTGGTCATACTGAAATAATGATGCTGAAATGACATGGCCCTTTTTCTAAAGAATAAAGTGGCATCAGTTGACCTCTTCCTGCAGAAGCGTCCTTCCCAAACCTTTCTGGAGGTGGTTAATTCCCCACTGTGGTGGTTAGACCAGTGCAAGGCAGGTGCCCTCGCAGAGTACACACCTTTAAACAAAGGTCTCCCACCTCTTCAGCGCAGAGCTGCTAAAGGGCAGCTTGTTTTGAATATTGGCTTCCTCACACCCGGGGCTCCGGGAGGGAAAACAAATCTGGTTTTAATCTGAATGATCCTGCAGTTTGTCAAGCAGTTGACATGAAGCTTTCTGTCTTGCGGATGCACGGGAAGAAGGTGTGAGAAAACAGCTTGGGAAGGAGACTGCAAACCTGGTTTGCCATGGGCTCAGATTGATGTAAGAAAACTTGTGGGGACTTGACTTGAGCTGGACTCGTGTTGTACATGTGACCTGGACCTGCTCTCTTTGAAAAGTCCCAAAGTGTCTTGCAGAGGCTTGAAAACAAATATAAAATGTAAACCTGAACAAAGCATTGTGTAAGTTCAGTGCAAGAAGAAAAACTCACTCTGGATTGTCAGACAGTTTCTCCTCGTTCTGTAGTTAAATGTTCAAACCCACCACATCTCCTCTCCAAACAAGGTGATTGTTTTCACTGTTGATTCTCAGTAAATACTCTGCCAGCAGCATTAGGAACTGACACCAAATGAAATCATACTCTCTGTGCATGTTATTACAAGGTGTGCCAAATACCTTACAAAAAAGTAATTATCATTCCTGTTTCATTAATGAAGAAACACAGGATGACTGCCTAACCCATTTGCTGGGGATCACACATCAATGAAGGTGCCTATGAGTGTTTTTGTATTCTAAGGTTGTATTTAAATGTTTCTCCTTTGAAAGTGGAAGGGAAAGATCATTTGCTGTGAATTGAAACATGATTCAGTTAGTTAAGGGGATATGGGTTTCAAAATATGCAAACCTCCCCCAAGCTGAGCTCCATCCTGAAATGCATGTGAAATAATCCTTGTTACCACAAAAATACACAAGTCATTCATGCGCTTTCTTTGCTTTATTTCCATAGAAATAATTATGGGGTTTATTTTGTTCCTACTCCAGAGGATGTGGTTCTTGTTTCCTCAGAAACAGGTAGATATTATTTGTGTATCTCTAAACATTTTCCCTGAAACAAAAAAACAAACAAAAGACAACAACACACCCAGAGAAACAGTGTTTTCATTAAATCTACCTCTGCCATTGAATTCCCAGAACCTCTTCATGTTCAATGTTTGTCTCGCCCCCCCCCCCCCCCAAAAAAAAATGCAATTTAAAATGTCTTTCCTATAGAAAACAAAAAGCTTTCAGAGGTCTGTTATTTGGTCTTTTTTCCTCTAATAGGAAGAGGAAGAGAGAAAGGGGGCTCGAAAATGGGAGGTACTTTCTCTTACTGCTCCTCCTGTGCTAGGAGGGCAGGAGATCAGAAGATAGGGAATGTGGCTTTAGTGTGTATTTTTTGTAAGTTGACATTTTTAATAATGAGAGATTCCTGTCTCCCTGAAATACTTTTTCAGTGCAAACAGGGAGTGGCTGGTAGATGCATGTGCTCATTCTCTATCAGTGACCAGTATCAAAAAGAAGACTTCAAGAAAGAGAAGGAAATACGAGTTTCTGGTGTGTCAGTGCCCACATGGATGTGAAGGCACATCAAACTAAAACTAATCAGAAGCATTGCTTTCCGCAGTCTGCTACTATATGCAAAACACAGTCATATTATTGTCTTTTGTTTTTAATGATTGGCAGTGTTTTGTCATTTGAATTAAAAGGTATTTGTAACCAGCACATTAACATTTTATCTCTCCCAGAAGTTTTGCCTTTGGCTGGCTAATAAGGAAGCCAGCATGAGCCAACGGCAAGCAAGGCTTGAATTAAGCTTATGGCTGAGTGGTAGATATAACCCAGTTGTTTCTTATGCATCCCTCATGTACCTGTGTGAACTATAAAACGCTTTCATTTTTTAGATGTGGAAAAGATTTGCCACCTAGTCTGACTAGATGGGAAGAATTAGAAGAGCTTCTCAGCAGTGAAAAGTCAATGTTAACATACAGTTGGTTCTTTTCTTGTGGATTCTGCCAGAATATGAAACAAAGATCTTCCTTCAGCCCCAACCTAGCGCAGTGATAATTTATTTGCTGTATGACAGCTGTCTGATAAATGCTACTCTTCAGAAAATAGAAGCTCACTTTTAATAAGACATAAAAGGGTTGGAATGAAATCAGAGGAATTTCGTACCAGGTAAATCCTGTAGAAACTGGCCTGTTAGCTGATAGCTCACTTTTAGAGACCAGCCGTGTCCTCCAGGGTCCCCCTTGGAGCAGGGTCTGTGTGACACAGCAGCGCCAGGGAAATGTGGAACTTGTCAATAGCAAAGGTGCAGAAAGTCAGAGGGCTGCAAGCACACACACTGCACTGTGCAGCATTAGCATCAAACCTCATCTGCAACTTGCTGAGTGCAAAGAAGTGGCTCTAAAGCACTTAATGAATCAGTTGAGTTTCTTTCATGAGATTACAGACTCTGGCATTAGTTTCCTATTTCTCCATAGAACGTAGCACAAGAATTTAGAGAGAGTGTATTTCTTATTTCTTTCTCCTGCAACTTGCCTTTTTAGTGAAGAAATGCTTTGTTGTCCCAGTTTTCAATTGTGACTCCAGGTATGTTAGAAACAACTGCATTTGTATTTTCTGTTTTAAAGGAACAGGCTAACAATACAACTTTTCAAATTGGTAAGTATGAGCTTTATTTACTTGGTGTTGGTGACACCTGTAAATGGAATGGGATATTGCTAAGGATGATTGAACTTGCTCTCCTAGGGTTTTTAGAGTGGGATTTGTTACTCTACTGGACATGAATATGCATGTTTCTGCCTCTCTAAGCTTGTTTTGGTTGGTGGGATTCTTTAAGACCAGTCATGCTGGGAAATGCAGTTTCCTCAGGAGGAGCTGAAAATTGAGAGCATGTGACAAGCTCTGTGAATTATTATAAAGAGCAAGCTGGGCTGGGATATCCTCTTGCTGCCAGGGAAATGTGGTCAGCTGGGCTGTA